GAGGTGGGGGTCACCAGGTGTCAGAGGTAAAATTGGCGAGAAAATGGCCGCCAAAGCTTGGTGACTTCCCAATTAAACTGTGGTGTCCTTGGAATCTGAACATTTACTTATTTTTGTACCTTTGATCAACGCTTTTTAAAATAAAAATCCGCTCAGGAATGAATTTTTAAATGGGTGTAAAAAGCTATTGAGCCCCCCTCCCCGCCCTCAAAAGAAAAATCGATTCAAATTGACGGTTTCTCCGATTTCATTATTTTGACGAGCGCCTGATTTCACCACGATGCCACACATATACGAATGTACTTCATATGCTTAAAGTATGGCCTACCGTTTTGTTTCTGATTACGTAGGCTACTTCTCCCAGACTATGTGACTGGCCAGGTTTCCGGATGGCCTTCTGTACGTTGTATTGTACACTTCTTCTTCTTCTTCTTCTTCTTCTTCTTCTTCTTCTTCTTCTTCTTCTTCTATTATATTATTACCAAATCAGCATGATCATTATTATTATTATTGTTATTATTATTATTATTGTTATTATTATTATTATTGTTATTATCATTATCATTATCATTATCATTAATATTATTATTGTTATTATTGTTATTGCTGCTATTATCATTACTCTTATCATTATTATTTTGGTAGTAGTATTTATATAATTATTGTTATGATTATGAAAATAAGTATCATTTCCATGAAAATTGCAGTGGTGATAATATGAGTCTAATAGTCTTAAAGGGATAATGAGCACGACTTGAGCACATAAAATCCACCACATTAGAAACACCGTTGGCCCACACTGCAGCAGTAGAATCTGATTTGATGTATTATACTATGGTCAGTATCACTTAATACGTATCACGGGTATAATAATGTGTAAAGAAAGTATCCGAAGAAAAAACAAACCCACCTAGCATTATACTTCAACCACCCTTATTAGCTGCAGCGAAAGAAATCAAAATGGCCGATTGTTATACATTCTGACCTCTATCAATGCAATTGCAATAACTATTATGGCCCACCTCAAGAGTGGGCACTGGATGTCGATTGCTTGAGTCAATACCATTAGTGCTCTGATCGTGCGCCATGTATTAGAAAAAGTAGGAGGCCTACGTCACAGCAATGTGACTGTAAGGACAAATCTGGCGTTATAATAATCTAATCTAGCTGGCAGTAGCAGCACTGTTGGTTTGCCGCTGTTCAGAGACCTAAAGGCCAGTACGTACGTCCCACTCGGATTGTTCCCCTTTCTGTATTGTGTGAAGTTTTACGAGACAGTGTCGAATTTCAATTGTAAATATATTATGTGTGGTATATTGTGGTGAACTGAGGCGCTCGTCAAAATAATGAAAAACCGACATTTTTCCGCCTGTTGGGACTATTTTATTGATTTTTTTTTCTTTGGCTCAACACCTTTTATGACCATTATCTGATTTTTCTGTGGATTTTCGTCTAAGACATTGATCAAAGCCCCCCCCCCCCCCCCTTAAAAAAATGAAATAAAATTAAAAAACCCAAAATAAAATAAATAAATAAAAAAAAATAAAAAAAATAGTAAAACAAAATAAAATAAAATGAAATAAAATAAATAGATACACTAAAAATAAAAAAACAATAATAAAAAAAGGAAATAAAGATGATAAAAACATGTGAATTTGTTAAGGACACTCAAGCTTTGGAAGTCTCCTAACTATGGTGACCATTTTCTTCCTTTTTCCCCTCTGAAACCGGGCAACCCCTTCTTATTTAAATTACAAATAGTTCGACTTCTATTTAGAATAGATGGGTAGATTCCCTATTTTTTTTATTTCTTGAAAAACAAGACAAACAAATAAGCTTTGAGATTACCCCAAAATGATCAAACGCCTGATTCCACCGTGACCGGATAGAAATGATAATTTTTAACTTTGCTGTTTGTGCCAGTGAAAATAATTGTATTAACATGTGAGTAAGTCTATTTTGGATTACGTCAACAGAAATCAACTCAAACAGATACGTTAAGGTATTTTATCCGTTTTCTTTTATTTTACATTTCCCATTACATATGTATATGTAACAGACCCCCCCCCTCAACTTCAATAACAAACAAACAGCACCACATCAGAACCCCCCCCCCCATGAAGATCCAAATTATGCGCGACACAACATGATTTAAGTACGTAATTCACATTCAAGAAAATAATATTAACAGACATTCTTGTATCACGATTTAGATAAATAGACAAGCAAACAAACAAACAAGTAAATAAATAAATAAATAAATAATAAATAAATAAATAAATAAATAAATAAATAAATAAATAAATG